AAATATTACTAAAAACGAATTAAATCTGATTGGGTAAGGAAAAGACCAAAATACCCCTCTCTATTTTCGGCTAACGTTCCTTAACTAGATAGCCTATCTTCAAAAGGTCATATCTCACTCATCCGACCTCGAAACTTACAAAACTCGGAGGCGTTGGAAATATAATTCAAAAGATCTTTCCTACGGTATCTGGTAGAACACCTAACTCATCCTGAGCTAGGAGTTATGGTCGTTTGAAGTCAACCCAAAACTCATACTTAGCTTAACTTGCAAAATTTCAGATTTTGCTATTTCCAATTTAATTCTTTTTGAAACTCAAGGTGCTACATCTAGTGACCTTAACACTTACGAAATTTTAATTCCTCGGTAAAATCCTACTCACAACGAAGGATGGTTCAAGTCTTAGCTTAAAAAATTTCTGGGGTGTTACAACATATTTCACTAAAAGTTTTTTCCACACATAATCTTCAACAAAATGGTGAGATAGACGTTCAAAGACTCATTCAAGTGATATATTGTAAGCTTATTCACTAAGGATTGCCAACATCAATATTTGAGAAGTTATGATATAAGATTGGAATGCATCGTCTCCGAGATATCAAGTAAAGTTTTTATCAAAGGGAGAAAAATACGCGTTGTACTCTTTTCCTTAACCATGATTTTATCCCAATTGGCTTTTTCTGGTAAAGTTTTTAACGATGCAACATTCAAAGCGTATTAAAAGATATGTGTACTCTTTTTCCTTCACTAGGATTTTTTCCTAGTAAGATTTTAACAAGGCATATTATCTATGGGCATCCAAGGGGGAGTGTTATAAAATATTATATTGTGGATGTCCACTACATCAAGAATTTACTCCATTACTTTCCTCCATTATGAAGATAACCATAACTTCCATAACCTCCACCTTTATAACCATTATTCTTGTAACCTTTCACTTCCATAGCCTCCCCATTATATTCATGTTAATGTCATGTTTATGACTAACCTTTTGTATGTCTCTATGTTACACTATAAATAGAGGCATAAGGGTTCATATTGTATACACTTGAAGATTTGGTGAATACATGAAAGAAAGAAAGTTATATTATATTGTTCCTCTTGTCTTATATTCTTCTTGTCTTCATTTTTATATTGTTCTTTTGTTCTTAAGTTTTACAACAATATTTAATTTTTTTATATACAGATCCTTTAATATATAGTTCAAGAAATATAATGTATCTTTATTTTTAACATAGTCATGCTTTCTTTTATGTTTATTTTTTTATGATTTTAGTTTTTTTACACATATAAAACATTTTGTCTATAGCAAGTCGACTTCTAACAAAATGTAATTCAATTAATATGACAATATTATTGTTTATATATTTTAATGTGATGTCTTTTATTATGGATGTCATGTCTTTATTTACTTTTCTTTCTTTTCCGTTTGAACTTGTAATTTTTTCTATAAATTTAATGTTACACCACCAAGATATTTTGTAATATTTTCTTTATACGTATCTTTTTTTATAGCCAATTTCTTTTTTGATTATTAAAACTTACATTTAGTAATTAAAATATATTAATTCCTCTGATATAATTAAAGATTTTTCTTCAAGCTTTAAAAATATCAAACCTCCAACATCTGACACAAGATTTTCATGCTATATTCTGTGAATAGTTATATTCTTATGTCAAACTTACATACAAAATGACTTAGCTTTGAACTTAGAGATGAATATATGTACACTCCACTATGATATATTTACTTATATAAATTAACTTTTCTAATGCTAATTAGGGGACAAACGTGCAACGCACGTTTCGAGGACTAGTAAGTAAAAAAAGACTATCCGGGAAAAAGAATGGACTAGTGAGTTAAAAAGGACAACCAGGAAAAAGAAAAAAACTTAGAGATGAATATATGTACACTCCACTATGATATATTTACTTATATAAATTAACTTTTCTAATGTTAATTAGGGGACAAACGTGCAATGCACGTTTCGAGGACTAGTAAGTAAAAAAAGACTAACCGGGAAAAAGAATGGACTAGTAAGTAAAAGAGGACAACCAGGAAAAAGAAAAAAATTCGCCGCTGCCGGGGATCGAACCCGGGTCACCCGCGTGACAGGCGGGAATACTTACCACTATACTACAACGACTTGTTGGTTAAATGCTGCATTGTTTATTAAAAGTAATTCTGTTAGAAAATTTTGTTGAATATAATTGATTTGTGAAAAATAAAAATGACATATTTATACTTTATTTTGATAATTTTTCATTATTTTATTATTCTCTATCATTTCATCTCCATTAAATTAGAGGTCGATGTTCAGTCCTTTTCAAACTTTAATTCGACTTTTCATTTTTCGATTATTGAAAAATGTGCATTGAATATCATATCAAATTAGTTTGGTTCGATTTTTTTAGGTATAGCTCGATTTGGATCGATCTTCTAAAGTGATTTTTTCAAAAAAAAAAAAATTTACTCCGAGGTGAAATTAATTACAAAATCAAAGCAAAAAAGGGTAAATTGTTATTGGTAGTAGCAGGCAGTAGCAAGCAAAAACAACTTTGAAAAAATTAGGTCGTTTGGAGCTTGAGATGATGGATACGAGTCATAAGCTAGGGCAACTAGTGAACTCAAAAATAAGATAACAAATTAATTAGGGATGGGCTTGGGGTAGTTGGGTTGGATCATGAAATTATTTGGATAATTATTAAGATTGATTGAGAATTTATTAAATTCACTTTGTATCAATGATACATAAATTTCTGAAATTTGCTCGAATTGGTGATACCGAAATTCGCTCTATATCAGTAATACACTATAACAAATGCAAAACGAATTGCTAAATAGGATTGAATTGTTGTGTTAGTTAGCTTGATAGGTTGTCCTCTTTTACCAGGATTGAAATGTCTAAGTTAGCTTCTCCTGCCCTCTTTTTGTAAAGACTAATTTTTTTAATCGTTGTGTTATATTCGGAGATAAGACCAAGCTCCCTTATTGTATGCATCTTTCGATATATAACACCTCAGGCATGAGAAATTATTTTTTTAGAAAAATAAAATAAAATAATTGTATTATTGATACATAGTGAATTGTCTATTTTAAAAGTATGGTGCACCTTTTTGAGGTGTAATTTCTTTTGTTTTTGGTCTTTTATTTTTATGTGTAGAGTAGTTTTTTATGTTGTAGTTTCTGAAATTTTGATGAAAATTTCTGGTTTTTCTAATTAATTTTTATTAATCTGATTTCCACAACCATACTTTTGTTGGAAAACTATATGCACAACGGAAGCATATCAGAATCATACAACTTACATGAATAATAGACAATACATAGTTTATGCTAGAACAAGTATAATCATGTTAGAGCACATAAATTTTCTGAAATTTAATTCAAGAATTACCTCTTGAAATGTGAACAGATACCTTCAAGCAAATCCACAAGCTAGTCGACAAGCTAGAACCTCAAGCGAATCCACAAGCTAGTCCACAAATTGGACGGCAGTTCTATGGTGTTCTACAGTGATCCCAACTTCACTTCCGAACTCTCTTAATACTTGGGTGGACAAGTATCATATATAAAACGTATTCACCTTCAAGGGTTAGAAGAATCCCTATTTATAGAGATTTCTTCCTAGTCCAAGGAGGAGGAGAAACACAATCCTTCCTTAGAATAGAAAAAACCATGTACTTCTCCCTTTTCTTAGAATAGAAAAAGACGTGTACTTCTTCCTTTCCTCAGAATAGGAAAAGACTTGTACATCTCTCTTTCCTTAGAATAGAGAAAGACACATACTTCTCTCTTTTCTCCTTAGAATAGATTCTGAGTTCTAGTTAAATATGGGCACGGTAGGGACCACAAAACTAATTACTGAGGCTTTCTATTATGGAAATAATTCTAAATAATTGATTTGAATTATTCTTACCATAATAAATTACAAATCATTCAACTAGAAATTCATAATTGCACTCCTCGATCAATTTATATTTCGAAATTCCCCATTAAACACATATGTAATTCTTCATGTTAAGATTATAGATATTAATCAATAAATTAAATTATTGACGAATTTAATTCAATGATCTGTTTCCTTTAGAGCACTGCTTAACTTATTTGATGTGTTGGATTCATAATCCACTTGCAAGGTTTGACACGATGAAAACTTATAAGCTTCTCAAAAAGGCCTATCATCAATCTCTATATCGACATGGATTCCATCAACTAACTTATAATTTCACCAATATATATTATCATCATCAAATCTATCAGACATATTGACTCATCTTAGAATATCACATTTTAATAAATCAAAACGATAGTTAACATATACAGATCATAATAGTTCTATCAGGATTAAGAATATGAGTACATTTAATAGTTTAGAGAATATGTTTTTGTCAGTCACTCTAAATCAACTATCTCTACTCGATCCCGTTCAATTCACACAAAATAGACTAGCACAAGAAGTTGGAGCTATACCATTCCCATAATCAAGATAAACTACATATAATCTTGTGCTACAATCGTACCGATGACATGTCCAATTTTCATCTTAGATTGTGAATAAATTTTTTTAATACTTATAAGAACCGATGATTTAATCCTCTGTGTATAAGCTTAAACTCTATACACTAAATCATCTACTATATAAGTAAACAGACACTATAAATGAATATATGATCTATTAAAAATGAATAAATAAATATTATATCTAAACACATGGTTAATAGTATATATCTCAACAACTTTTATTAATCTGAAATTTTGATGAAAATTTCTGGTGTAATTTCTTCTGTTTTTCGTCTGCATTTTCACATTCTCCCCTTGAGTCATATATCGTCCAGAGAATTAAAAAAGTGACCAAACTTTTATTTATAATTGATTTTCTGAGTTAGTGTAACAATATTACTACTCAGAGTTTCAGATCAATACATAAAACAAAAGCATATACTCATGAAGCATACATATTTATTCTACTAGTAAACATATTTAAAGTAAACTAAATTTAAACACCATAATAGGTCTTCAGAATAGATTCACATCCCATGCCTTCTTTAGTGTTGTTGAAAGCACGGTAGCAGAAATCAAGGTATTCAGCATGAACAAATGGCTTAAAGAGTAAAGGATGATCTTCATCTACCAGCTCTTTTGGTGTCTTTATTATGTGTCCAGCTTTAGGTCTTGAAAAAAAACCAATTGAGTATCTTGCTTCTTTTCCTCTCATAATCACTCTATGATATGGTGCATGCAACCGACCATTTGTCCATGCCTACGTACAAAAACAATCATTCATATATATTTTTTACAAAAAAAAAAACTCAAAAATTGAAAGATAAAAAATGTTAAATACATTTGAACTTTTATATATATACAGAAAATAATAAAAGATTTGTTGGAAATAATAATTCAAAGTTGAAGTAGGAATCCTTAATTTATTAGGATTTGTTATTTATGATATTTATTCATTTATGTTTAATTAGGATTTGTTAGTTAAAGTAGTTCCTAGTCCTAGTTTATAAATAAAATATTTTCCTTAGAAAAACATAGAAACCACAAAAATATATAGAAACATATAGAACTTTTGAGTTTATATATAAAATATTTTCCTTCAAATTAGTATCAGAGCTTCTATGATACTGGTAGAAGATCTTAGAGTTTCCGCTGCCGGCGGACGGCTATGACCCATATATGTTGCTCGTCTGGCCAATGATCATGTTGAAAAAAGATGGACGAATAATAAATGCATGAAAAGAACATGCTAGGAGGAAATACTTACAAAAATATTGCAGATTTAAAGAAGTGCAACCAAGTACAAGAGGAAGAAACTCTTCTCTAAATTAAAAGTTGAAGAAAGTCAGAAAAAAAAAAAAAAAACGTTGGTGGGAAGGGCATCAACCTTGGAAGTTGGAGAGAAGTGTTCCAATACAACCAAGAGAAAAAATATCGTGAGTTGGAGAGAAAGTGCTCCAACACTTGGAAGTTGGAGAGAAGTGCTCCAACACAACCAAGAAAAAAAATATCGTGAGTTGGAGAGAAAGTGCTCCAACACTTGAAAGTTGGAGAGAAAGTGCTCTGACACAACCCAGAAAAAAAGTAAATGAGAATTGAAGAGAACTACTCCAACAATTGAAGATTGAAGAGAAATTCTCCAATACAACAACAATGACAAGAAAATAATTGAAGATTGGAGAAAACTATTTTTTCAATACAACAATAATGACAAGAAGAAAGAGACAAGAGTATACAACTTTGAATTACGGGAGAATGTTGGAAATAATAATTCAAAGTTGGAGTAGGAATCCTTAATTTATTAGGATTTGTTATTTATGGTATTTACTTATTTATGTTTAATTAGGATTTGTTAGTCAGAGTGGTTCCTAGTCCTAATTTAATTTAGTTTTTACTTTTATAAATAGGAATGCTACTAGTTATTTTCAATATACAGAAAGACATAAAAACTACAAAAATATACAAAAACATATATAGAACTTTTGAGTTTATAAAAAATATTTTCATTCAGAATTTTCACATTCAAAAAATAGTTATACGATAATCACCCATAAAAATGGAATTAGTAATCTAAAGAAAAGGCATGTTACATATCATTACTAGTTAAAATAAATAGATATTATAAGGTGTATATAGAAAATTATACTATATATTGATAAAAAATATTAAATATTAAATCTTGAATATCCTTGGTGCTCAACAACATATTGGGTGCTCAACAATTTTTATTTTGATGAGTTGAAAAAGCTTACATGTAGTGGGTCTCCAATCATGACAATGAAAGTGTCTGGTGTAGGATCAACATTGATCCATTGCCCATCTTTGGTTAAAATTTGAAGACCGTTTACCTGATTTTGGTACAGTATTGTAAGATTGCTCCTGTCCGTGTGAACATTCATTCCCATTTCAGTCTCACTACTTTGAGGTGCTTTATACTTCATCAATCGAAGAAGGTAGTTGGTGGAATTCATATGCTCATCCATGTACTTTTCCATGCCCAAACTCTCCAAAATCATTCTATTTACTATCTGGTCTAATTTTGATAGTTGCTCTGAGTATGACTGAATAGTTTTACTAGCAAACACATATACAAATTAAAATAATAACAATAAATTAATGACATGTTATAATAAGAATTAATGGAGAAGATTAATGTTTTACCAAAAAAAAGAATTTCCTTGGGGCCATAGAGTTTGAGTGAATTTTTCAGCTTTATTGTGGATGTTAGCATCATCAAAACACAAGCTTTCATAGAGTGGAATTTGAGGACACTGTCCAATGTAGCCATGAAGAGGTCTGGTTGAAATGTTTTTAAGTTTGGTTTGTAAAGGGAGATCGAAAAGCTCTTGTGAGACTTCAAAAATAGATTTTTTAAGGTGTATTGAAATTTTATCAAAGGAAGCTTTAAAACAACCATATTCTACTAGTGCTTTGTGAACTTGGCTTTTCACTTGGTTCCATACAAGTGTGCCTGGCTTTAGATCTTCATGAGAAAAGTCTATCTCTGGAAGCTTGATCATATTTTCTTGGAAGAATAGTTTTTTGCTTTATGTTTGTTATGCTTAATTCCATGTATGCAGATGAAACATATATTTATTTAAAGAATTTGGTATAAAATAATGTTGTGTGAAGGTATAAAACAAAATTGGATTTTAATTTCATAAATTCAAAAATTCATATAATCAATTCCAACTGTTTGAATTTTCAACCCTATTATTAGGTTTGTAAGGATATCAAAAGATAGAATAGGCTAAAGTAACGTGTTCATTTAAATAATACTATCTTTTAACTAGATCTTTCTAATTGATTCATTACTCTAATTTCAAATTATGCTATAGTTATATAATCTCTAAAAATCGAGTCTTAGGTATGAAAAAATTATTGATAGGGAGCATTTTTCAAATGAGTCCCTACATGGCGTGAATCCATATTAGTCTGACTCCAATATGAATATCAAACACCAGGTGGCAAATCAAAATAAAATAAAATGTACTGACGTTAATGTACTTTTTAGCAATTAATTATGTTTAGCTTTTCACACAATTATCTCATAAATCTCATTTAATTTTGGATAATTTTCTCTTTTTCAAATATCTTTATAAAAAGAATGCACTACTTTCAAAAGATAAAACATATCCCCATTAATATTTATAAATGGACCATTCTATTAAGAAGTTGATCATGACTTATACCAAATAATTGATATGCAAAGAAAAATAGACCTCTACGCTTTAAAGGAAGTAGAAGACTAGTATATGAAATAGGACCATCCAACGCCAAATTAATCGAACTTCAATACGATTATCATACACCAATCAAAGAATCCAAAAAAAAAGAGATTATTATTACTTCAATTAAACATGTGCTTTTTGAAACAAACAATAATCACCACAACATGAAAGAGAAACCAATATTCTAAGGTAAAATATACTATTTTGACAACTAATAATTTTATTAGTCATCAGTAATGAACAATTATAAATATATAGCTCAGCTATCGCACAACTGGCTATCCTAAAAAAAATTGCTAGACAAAATATACATTCAAGAAAACTATACATAATAGTGATATCATGTAAATATATGACGCGTGGGGCTAACTCAACTCCAAAAGTTAACTTATATTTGAATTAACTAAAAAGCTCAATCTGCGCCTTACTTAACTGTATAACTTACAATTCCAACTTAATTCAATAATGTAGCTCTTGCTATGTGAATCAACTTTGTTACCATAAGCCCAGGCAGAGTAACTGCCTCAAAAAATATCCCCAATGAAGCTCCAAATCTGAGAAACAACACAACAACCAATCATTACTGCCCTGGTTATCCAAGAGTGTGACCTAATAGTCAATGAAGTGAGTTGAGAATCACGAGTCAAAACAACCAATTTATTTTTATCTTTCTAAGCTTCAATAGCCAAAATTAGATAGTATATTTGTTGGTAGCAAGTGCATATGGAATCAATGATGTGTTTGCAAATTGACACGAACACTAGTTATAAAAAAAAATACTCCCTCCGTCCCATTTTATATGTCACTTTTTTACTTTGCACTTGCATTAAGAAATGATGTAACTTTACCCTTCTACCCTTATTTAATTTTTTTGGAACTCAAGTTTTCAATCAATGAATATGAATTAACTTATTTTAATTAATTAATTTAACCAATGAACATGAATCATTTACTTAATTTTTCTAAGTTGGTCAAATGTATATTTTCAAGGCTAATAACTCACAAGGGTAAAAAAGGAACAATATGATAATTTATGCATTGATTTTATGAAATGACAAGTATTATGGACCAGCTATTTATAGAAAGGGATGACATATAAAATGAGACGAAGGGAGTACTAGCTAACCCCAATTTTCAAATTTGTTTAGGAATAAGCACCATAATTGCATGTGTAATTGATTGTATTTGAACCTATATAGTTTTGAAGAATTTGGAGATGGTTTTTTCTTACTTCAAAACTGCCTGAGTTTCGGACAAAAACAAAGTTGTCACCTTTGTTTTGCTTATTTTGCTGAACTTTCAAAATTTGCTTATTTTAAAAAATAAAAATATCTTTTATTTATTAAAAAAATAGCTCAAAATATCATCCTTTACGGTTTGCATTACTGCATTGACACATTTCAATGACATTTAATAATATATAAAGCTCTACTTAATTAAAATATACAAACCACCTGCATGTTTCACATTGAGTAGCACGTAAAAAGAAATGCTCTTACAGGTTTTAAGAGATGTGGAAGTTTCGGATGATTATACTTCAAATATCTCAAATTGTGTTGATTTGAAAGACTGAAACAACGCACTATGTATGGATTGAAGAGTCATGACTGTCATATTTTAATGCAACAACTCCTTCCTATAGCCTTGAGGAATCTCTTGTCAGTTAATGTTCTTAAGCCATTAATTGAATTAAGCAATTTTAATTTTTTATAGGCATTTGTTCAATGGTTATGAATATAAGTGAAATAGAAAAGCTCAAAGATCGAGTTGCAATAACTCTTTGTCATTTGGAGAGAATATTTACTCCATCTTTTTTTGATATCATGGAGCATCTAGTCATCTATTTAGCTGAAGAAGCAATGTTGAAGGGACCTTCACAATATCGTTCAATGTGGGCAATCGAAATGTATCATCTTATTATTTTTATTTTAATTAAAGAATGGTATTGAACCTCTTGAAATTTTTTATTTTGGTTCTTGCTTAGTCTTAAAAACTATGTAAGGAGTAGAAGTCATCTAGAAGGTTCGAATGCAAAGGGACAATGCATAAAGAATGCTTGACATTCTTCTCAAGATACTTAGATGATGTAGAGACAAAGTCTAATCGAACATTAAGAAATAATACTTCGTCTAATAAAACCACGAATCTGGAGGGTTTATTCTTGATGACATTACACATGCTCAAGCACACAAATATGTTTTATTTAATTCTACCTCCACAACTCCATATCGTGAGTAAGTATTAAATCCTTGAACATGCATAACAATTAATTATTAAGTAATAATATTGACAAGTTCTTTTGTTAAGTAAATATGTGTTTTACTTCTGCAGAGAATATATAAAAGAAATCAAGAAGGGAAATCCTCGTCTATCAAGACATGATGTGAATCGGATTCACAATGAAATGACAGTTGTTGAATCACTTGAATGATTCGATAAGCATTACATATCTTGTTGTTCCTTACTAATAAATTTATATCTTCTTTTTCTATTTTCAGCATATCGACGTTATTTTTTATTATTTGCCAAAGAAAGTCAAAGTATGATGTTTGGAGCACGTATAAATACACAACTGTGGATTGTGTATTAGGTAAAAAAAATTCATCAATTTGGAACAAATATGCAACTTAGAAAGTGAGGAAAGTTGTGTTGATGAGGAGCATGTTATTGGTGACTACATTAAAGGATACAAACTCTATGCTGCTATCCCATTACATCTGGTAGATCATGTCTTTGTCCCTGTACATGTTAAGGAAAAACTTGATTGGTTATTGGTTGTTTGTGTCGCTTAATAACAAAAGTATCAACGTTTATGACTCATATAGAGAAGCAGGCCATGATCGCAACCATAAGTTTGAAGTTGAAAAGTTGGCTCAGCTCATCCCTCTCAAAATAACAATGAATGACTACTACAAGAACAGAGGAATCGATAGAAAATGGGTTCTTTAAGATAGTTTTCATCAATAATATACCTCAACAGTCACATGGTAGCTCGTAAGTTTTTATCAACAATTTATTATTCTCATTTATTTTTAACCCTCAGATATTCTTCTTCTTTTTGGATACGTTTTTTTTTTAATTTTTTGTTTTAACATATATGTTGCTTCAGGGACTGTCGTATTTTTATGCTTGCATGCATATGTCGAGTATTTCTCTTACACAGCCAAGGCATTTCAGTAGGTATTTTTGATACAGATTTTCTACGTTCAAGATATGCTGCACTTCTACGAAACATGAGCAACAGAAGATTGATGCCGGAGCCATAAGTGACAATGAGACTCCTCGTAGGATTAATAGGCCTCACATAAATTATGAGAGTAGTGAAAGAATTGAAATTTAATAGTTGGTGTTTTGTTCCTACTTCTTATGGAATTTTTCCTTGATGATAGAATAGTACATAAGGAAAAGGGTCAAATATACTTTGATACTCTATTTTTTTTACTGTTCAGTTTTGTTCTCTCTTATGTTATCTAGCTAATTTCACCCTCGTTGTCGATGAACATATCAAATATACCCTTCGAAAACAATTTATCTATCGTCACAAGACAGTAATAAGATTTGTGTTTGCAAATTACATTGGATATGTTATTATAATTGCAATAATTCTTCCATTAATCAAAGTCGAGGCATTTTAATAGTATGCCCAATATTTTGGGCCTGACTAGAATCTACTTCGGCGCATTAACCCCACTCTCCGTCGCCCGGCGGGCTTCCTCCTCTCCGGCTCTTCTCCGTCAAATCAAGTGGTAAGTTCCGATTCTGTATCTACATATTTCTCTCACAAGGCAATAGCCCTAAAAGCCTTTTTATCCGATAATAAGCTCTGATTTGTAAATTCAATTGTAATACTCCTCTCCCTGCATAGAGAAAGCTAAACTTCAATTTGTATTGTTATTTGTTGTTTAATTTCTCCGATCATGCATTTGTAGTTTGGGTGAGTGATTTCCCATAGGACTAGTTGCACTGCGATTGCCTAGTGCATTTTACTTTTCTGCTGTGATTTGTCAGCTATTGCACATGAGCGGATTTAACCAGTATGCACCATCGAGCTATTTTTTAAACTTTCAATGGTTATTCAATGATATATATATGAGCTCTTATGCTTCAGCTAATGGCTTAAAGTTATATCAATCTGCATTTGTGTATTTTTGTAGTAATCAATTCTTCTGTAATGTCCTATAATGTCGGTAAAGGTTTGGCAGAAAAGATGGAATCTTTATCCTCATATTGTGAGTTTTCAATTTCAACCCTTAATTTGGGAAATAGTTCTATGTTTCAACTAATGTACCAAATCATGCCATTTATTAGAGAAACCATTTGAGTGTGTACTGGGTAAACCTGATCTTGTGCAATAGCTCCCTTACTACACAGGAGATGCGGAGCTTAATAACTTACTCCCAAGGAATGTCACCAACTAGCTGTTATAGAACCTTTGACAATCCGTCAATTATTCATCATTTAGTGACGTATTTGGTTCTTTAGATACATAATTTGTCCGTCTAATATTTGTTTTTTTAGTAGTATCGAGTCGATCATTATTGCAAGGTGGAGCTTAGTTATACCTTCCTAATTACCATTGAGAATGTGGAAAGAAACAAGATTTTAAAGTACTTTGATTCAATATTATGGAAGAAACCACACCCCAAAGGTGTGGCCTAGTGGTCAAAGAAGTGGTTGAGAATCTTGAGGTCTCAGGTTCAAAACTCAGTAGAGACAAAAAAAAAATGCTAGGTGATTCTTCCCGACAGAGTTACCTGATATTTGTTGCTTGTGGAAGGTGATAGATATCCCGTGGAATTAGTCGAGTTGCGCAAAAGTTGTCTTGGACATCGCGGTCATTAAAAAAAAAATTATGGAAGAAACTCAATAGTCTTTCAGTTCTTCATAATCTCAACTGATTGGACATATTTGACTAGGGTGAAGACCTTTCGAGTATTCTCTGATTTTTGCCAAAAATTGAACTCTAATTTATAATTTTTTTGTAGAAAAAAAAATGGTCTTTTACCTGTTTGCTGGAGATGCTAAATTTAATCTCGCTAACAGAACTTCCTTTTCAACAGATTGGATTTTTGAAATATGACGTTGCTAAAGAGGTACATGTTAAGATTGTTCATATCGTTGAAGTACATCACTGCAAATGTGGTAGACAGAAACAACGGACGAATAGTAGCAACATCATCAACGGTTGAACATTCAGTGAAACAGTCACTTGAGTGCAGTAGAACTTGCAATGCAAAGGCTGGAGCAATCGTAGGAGAAGTGTTGGCAATGCGTCTCAAAGTGGAGGGTCTAGATCAAGTGCAAGTAAACGGGATCCATGTCAATATAAATAAGGAGGTTGAGAAGAAAGGTTTCAAGAATCGCACAAAAGTTTGGGCTATAGTTAATGGCTTAAGAGCAACGGAGTGAAACTTATTTTGGATGACAATGAAAATGACAGTTCTCGCCTCATCTCAGTAAATTAGTTGTACTCAATATGTAGTTAACTCTTAAAATAACATCATTTTTTTTCCAGATTCGTTAACTTCCTTAGTGAGTCCAATATACGAACACATTGCCATAAATTTTGTATATTAGATAGATAGTTTTTTCTTGTATGTGAAGAATGGCTCAAGAGTATACTGAGTCAGACAAGATCAAGATTGACATATCTACTTAATTTTAATTTGTATAAGTTTGTTTGAAGGTGGGTACCATGAAAGAGGTAAGTTCTCTTTGAAAGATAGACTCGGACAAGAATAGAGATTTTGCACTAGCCTCAATCTCAATCATTTGTTTAAAATCCTTTTAGGAAGCACTCTCTTAACTTCATCTTGGTTCTATTGAAGCGTTAGAAGCGAGAGGGGCAATAGTCTGTGCACACTTATAAATTCCATGGCCACTCACTTGAACTTGTGAAAAAGTTAAAGTTGATTTTTTGGAAATATGATAGATTGTTCTAGTAATGTTTCTAGAATAGTGTAGGATAATATCTAGGATAATTATATTTAAAAATATCTAGATATCTAAAAGATAAAGCTCACTAGAATTTTCTTTGTAGAAGTATCTACAAGAATTTCTAGAACCATATATCCATGAACAAGTATAAATATGAGTGGTCTTGTACATTTGTAAGTAACCCAAGAATAACCCAAGAACAACCCAATTAAAGAGTCTTCTTCTGTAACCAAGTTCTCCTATCCAAATTATTCCTTCTCCTTTCTAGTTTCCTCTTCTTTAGTTAAGTCTTCCGATCTTAGTTAACGATCTTGGGCTAGCAGAAGGCTTCCTGAATTATACTTTTCTTCTGCTATTCTCTACAGAACTTGCCGACAAAATGGTACAGAGTGTATAGTAAAGAAAATCAAGTTTTGTATATATGTGGGGCAAATGCAACTTGCAACTATTTTAAATAATAAAGTGATTCATGAACAAGCAAATAATATAATGGTAAAATGGTTGGTATATAAGGGCTTATTTGTTTTCATTAATATTGAGACGTCTGAATCTAAATGCACATTTGAATAATTAAAATGTTATTTCTAGATTTGGACGTTGAATAATTAAAACTAATTATTTTTCAATATTTGAATGTACATAATCTATTTATATGTACATAATAAATATACGATTTAAATAAAAATTAATTAAATATTTCAAAAGAATTAATAAAATAAAATCATTATTTCATTAAAAAAAAGGAACACTTATACTTGTAAGTGATGGTGGAAATAGTTTGTAGTGGTGGTGGTGACGGTAATAGTTGTTGTTAGTGGCAAATAATGATGGTGGTGATAGTTATGACGGTGAAGATGGTTGATGTTGTGGTGACTATCATAATGATGACGATAGATAGTGGTGTTGGTGATTGTAATGATGAAGTTGGTTGATGTTAATAGTTGGCAGTGTTAATGATGGTGGCTAAAGAATGTGTAGTCGTTGGTGATGTATTTGTGATGGTGGTGATGCTAGTAATGATGATGGAGGTGGTTGGTAGTAGAGATTGACTATAGTGATGGAGGTGGAGGAGGTGACAGTGGTGATGGTGGTGATGATGACTGAAAAATGTATAGTGGTAGTTGTCAACGGCTACTGAGATGGGGGAGGCGGTAACAACAATAGATATAATTATAATGATGGAAAAGGTAAGTGTGGTAGCAGTTGATAATAGTAGTCAGCAACTGTGATTGTGATGACACATATGATTAGTTGTAGACAAAGGTAATAGTGGTTGACAATGATGATGACGACATAGGTGGTTAGTAGTAGACTAGTAACGCTGGTGATTGTGGATAGAGTAATGGCTATATATACAACCAAATTAGCGGGTCCTTTCCTCTCATCATTCTCACAGAAAACACTAGAGACATACAAAGCACAATAATGAATCAATAAATAAAATAATGGAGTACGTAACTACCAACTCATGATAATTCAACTTTTGTCTGTTCTTCAAACCAAGCTTGTTTTCTCCATTTGCACATATGCCAACTCCAGCACATTTTCAGATTCTTCTCAATGTCTCAAAATTCCCCAAAAAACGTTGCCGTTATCGGTGCTGGTCCTGCGGGACTCGTTGCAGCCCGAGAACTCCAACGCGAAGGGCACATTGTAGTTGTATTCGAGCGAGAAAATCAGCTAGGAGGCACATGGATTTACACTCCACACACTGATTCCGACCCAATTGGGGTCGACCCGAATCGCAGAATTGTTCATTCAAGTCTTTATTCATCACTTCGGGTAAACCTTCCACGTGAAGTAATGGGTTTTCGTGACTACCCTTTCGTGGCCACGAAAAAACCCAATAGAGACCCGAGACGGTATCCGGGTCATAGGGAAGTGTTGGACTATTTGAATGATTTTGCGTCTGATTTTGGGCATATTGAACTGGTGAGGTTTGGAACTGAAGTTGGATATGTGGGATTGTTGGAGAATGGAAAATGGAAGGTTAGTTCAAGAAAAAGTGAGAATGATGATCATGTTGTGTTTGTTAATGAGGAGTATGATGCTGTAGTAATCTGTAATGGACGCTTTACTGAACCGCAAATAGCTGATATTCCTGGTAATTTATTTAAAATTTTGATCTTTAAATGTTTATTTGTAATACTGGAACCGCAGAGAGAAGAGTTGACTTCTCACTTTTCATTTATATGGGATAACTTATCGCATCATTATAGTACAAATTGCAGCATAAGTAATTTTAAGGACTAATACCTCTAACCAAATGTAGGATAAAATAACTTAAATTATTATCCCTTATCCCAATACCAAACGTCCCCTAGTGTCTGTTCTGCCAAGAATTGAACATTAGTTTTCAAGTTTTTACTCCAATCTCTAAGCCACCCTTGGAGCATTTTGATCTTTTAAGTCTTCACAGTTAAAGATTTGGTTTTAGACTGCTAGGTTGTAGCAGAATGGAACCTTGTTTAGTCAGGTTCGGGTTTGTGGTAAGTATAGATTCTTTGAGGAAATAAGTCAAGTACTGATAAAAAAAAATCACATCTGTGTAAAACAAGATTGAAGTTATATTCACTTAGTGCAAAGAATTATTACACTTTAGTGTAATTTAACATGTTATAGCTGGTTATAAGGGTACCTGCAATTGCCTAATAGTTTGGCTGTCTTTCCCTTAACCTTTTTCTTAATAGCGGTGGTGCACTTGCGTCTTCCCACCCTGTATCGATAACTTTACCCACCAAAGTTTAGGTAGACACAAGGAAATCACCTAACTTTTAGTTTCTCCTAAGACTTCTCCTGTGGACTGCAGATTGTAACACTACAATGGAATATATCCATTACTTGTGTTTAAATTTGTGGTCATCATTGATTTTTCAAGGGAATAATCATTTACTGTTGGAAGATTCATTCTTCACTACAAAATTTGAAAGAAGATGTCAAGTATTTGGTAATCCATTTATAAAACCCAGGCTGATTTGTACATTAAGTGAATAGGTCTATCGTACTTTGTGTTTTAATAGTTTTGGCTGATCAAATTAACCTTTTCATCAGTGTTACATATACACCATTTGGCATGGTTTTCCTGTACACTCAATTAGGAAATTTGGGTTCCCATAACACTTGAAGTTGATATGTCTCCATGACAAAGCATGAATATTCTAAGGATGAAAGATTAGCCTTTATTTTATTTTAAAAGTTTCAGCCAATTTTTAAATTTTTTTCTTTTTTAAGATCAATTCAACATAGTTTTGGTTTCATTAGTTTCTGTCAGGCTATCATATGAAGAATATTTTGGTTTTGTCATGGTTTTGGAAGTTATGTGAGCAATTCATATTTTTTTAAGTTTTGAGTTAGTTTTTTCTTTCCTACATCTTCTTTAGCTTTCAGATTCTTTTCCACTGTGTCTGAAATCGTATGTTGCTAACCTTCCAGTTAACTATGTCAATATGCAGTATTAAAAGTTTCTAACCAGAGGTCTCTGCCTTTTTAGGAATTGAAGTATGGCCAGGAAAGCAAATCCACAGCCACAATTACCGGGTTCCAGAGCCTTTTCGAGATCAAGTATGTGTCATGTGTCATGTGCATTGTTCCCTTGAGAGATTTAATGTTTCTAAATTGGTAATGCAGCAATATTGACTTTGAAATAGCTTGCAGTTATTTAGATTAATATTTGCCCTACTTAGTGAAAGTTAAAATGTTAAAACTGCAAGTGTGGATTCACTATAGCCAAAACTCTTTGGAAATTGTATTATTCAAATCTTACTTTTGCATAAAACATTGGAAATGCGAGGAATGCAAGTACAAAATGCAGATAATTTGTTAATTTAGATCCACCTGTTTTTTTAATGAAATACACATGGATAGTTAAAAGCTATACTAGTCCTTGTTCTTAGGAAGCTATGTAGAAAAAGTACTTCTATTCTTATTGGAGCCTTGTTATGATTTGGAGAAAATGCTGTCAGGTTGTGGTCTTGCTTGCTTATTTCAGTGGTTTGTCTTGTTGACATGTCGCTTTCCATCTTTAGTTTGGTTGATAGATAGATTGGTATGATAACATTCTCCAATATTTTAAATGTGTGACTGGATTTGATTTCCTTATATCCTAAAAAAGGTCATCTTCCTGCTATTCTAGTGTCCGTAGCCGTCTGATCTTAGATGAGAAAGTATATCACCTCCATAAGGTATACTTCTTTAATAGTAACAGGTTATATCCTTGATAATATCAGTTATCAAGTTTTGACAAATATATCACGGCTGATGCTAATTACAGAAAGAGAAAAGGAAACACGGAAAATAATCTCTTGGTGTCATATAATATAACATTTTTTCTTCATTGACATTGCGTTTTGGAGGATATGATCAATGGTTTGGCAGGTCATTGTGGTCATAGGGGCTGCCACAAGTGCTTCTGATATCTCCAGAGAAATTGCTGAAGTTGCTAAAGAGGTCCACATTTCTTCTAGATCAGCTCT